GACCATGGGGCTGCATTTTTTGATGCCCAAGTCAACTGTCCCATATCAAATATTCTGGACAAACCAGATCTTGGGATGCTATGGAAACTGCTTCCATCTGGTCATACAAGCTATCTTCTACAAGTCCAGGCCAACTTCTTTGAGTGTGGTGGATTAGCAATCGGAGTCAACATTTCACATAAGGTCGCGGATGCTTCTACTATGAGCAAATTCATTAACAGTTGGGCTGCAATAGCATTTGGCTCAGCCAGTACTAGTGATTATGTGGTGCCTCCTGCAGAATATGGTGTTGCAGCTTCTCTTTTCCCACCAGTAGATTTCCTAAACAGACCGCCAACGCCTAGTGGCAGCGCAAACTCTGGTATCAAAGAAAAGTGTATAACAAGGAGATTTTTGTTTGACGCCTCAAAGATTGCTGCTCTCAAGTCCAAAGCTGCCACTACCACCGTGCCAAATCCTACGCGCGTTGAAGTCGTTTCGGCACTCATTTGGAAGTGTGCAGCGGAAGCATCAAGATCAAACTTTGGGTTAGTAAGGCCCTCCGCGTGGTGTCAAACGGTGAACATGAGAAAAGTACTTGTGAGCCCCTTGGCAGGTAAAGACTTACTAGGGAATGTTGTTGGGTTGGTTGCAGCAAAGACAGCAGACATTAGTGAAGCAGATGATCATGATCTTCGGAGCTTGGTTACTATATTGAGGAAGGGAATTGAGGAATTTAAAGAAAACTATAGAAATGGAGTTAGTGGGGAGAGTTTATGCCAACTTTTCATGGAGATTGTGAACCTCATCAAAAGGAATGATATAGACAGCTATAGTTGCACCAGTTGGTGCAGGTTTCCCTTCTACGGATCCAATTTTGGATGGGGAAAGCCATCATGGGTTTTCACCTCTAGTGTAGATTCCAAGAATATAATTATATTGATGGATACGAAAGATGGTGATGGCTTAGAAGCGTCCTTAACTTTGAAGGAAGAAGACATGACCAAATTTGAAAACAATAAGGAGTTGCTTGAATATGCATCTTTGAATCCAAGTGTAATTTAGTATACCCAACCCAACCACCCCCTCCTCCCTTGTGTTTACTTAGATGAGTAGTGCTAGACCTTTGAGATGATCTCTCATTGTTTTCATGCTTGTACACTGAAGTTTGAACACATATAATGAAAAACTTGTGCTTTCAGTTATTACATTTTCCTTCATTATTATTATTTTTTTAAATACAAGTAATAGTCTAAACTACAAAAGGGAGGGAGTTTTTCACACACACTATGTACCAAGATGTTATGGAGGTTTGAACCTGAGACCATTGATCTGCAAGTCAATGTCATTTTCCCCTTATACAATCTAATTCTGTTCATTATCCGGATGACGAATTGATATGTTTTCCAATTATATGATTGAATTGGATTGGATTTCATTATGCATCACAACTAATCATGTAAACTATAATGTACATATGTGTTGGCGTGACTTGTGGATATTGACTTACTTTCCTTACACACCAATGATTCCTATTTTATTTGTAATTGATTTACTTTAATTCCTGATTTCCTACTGTAAATAGATTTAGGAATTTATTATTTACTTGCCCATTCAGGTTTTGTTGTATTATAAATATGACCTCCTACAAGGAGAAGAATACATAGAAAATTCCCACAAACAAATATTCTCTTATAGTTTTCATATTTTAGCA